ACCGCATATGCGGTGTGTTCGGTGGAAGACGGTGGTGGACCTGTGCAGGAGCAAGCAAATTGAAAAGTCCTCGTATCGCTCGAATGAAACTATGCGAGGTGCGCAATGATCGGAATAGAGGTGATAATGTCCCACCTTATCTGTACGTGAACATGCCGCCGACATGCCATCTGACCGTCCTCGCCGCCACCGCGCCGAACGTGGAAGCGGATCCAGTTCTAATGTAGCCTTCGCACCCAGCGTCTGTCACAGTCGCCTAGGTTCAAGCATACTTATGCCGGTTCAAGACGTTTACGACGAGTTGGAAGCCTCGCCTGTGCTAGTATCCTGCATACATACAGAATGCGAAGCTGTGTTTTCGAAGTCAGCATGAAAGTCAACAACTTGACGGCACAGTAAATTTCGATTTCCATGTGACTTCCTCAAGCGTGCCATTCCTGTCAACGGTGGTGGTGGTTGTGGCGGAATGTTTGGAATGGCCATCGCCGGGTGATCTCGATCACACATCTGACCATCGAAGTCAAGTGTTGCCACCGACATCGTCGTCGCGTTGGAGGCCGATGTCGACTCGACTGCTTTCGTCCTTGGCCTTCTCGATGGATTCTATACGCATAATTGTAGTTGCAAGTATCACACTTGAATCACCACTCTTGCCATTGAAGAGAGCTGGTGAGCTTTCCTTGGCTGCCAGTCTTCGCCGCAACGTGGAGCCAGCCTGCAGAATCCGCGCCGTGGGTTGAGGTGAGTCCTTCTTGGCGTTCACAGTGTTAGCTGAACCAACTCCACCATCTTGAGATACCTACCTGAGCAGTTTTCTTCATGGGGGGAAGCCTAGTTGGCTTGGCGACTGCAATTGTGGCGCCGCCATTGTCGAGCACGTGGAGGGCGATGTCGGCGCGCTGCAGCATGGCTTCGTTCGCCTGGCGCATTTCCAGTTCGTGGCGGTTGCGAGGTGAGTACGTCGTACAGCCATATGCCATGAGCGACTCGAGCATGAGTTTTCGCTGGTACGATGGAATCAAGGTCTGCAGCGACAGCGCGGCATCCTGAGTAAAGTAGCGGTGGAAATGATGTGGCGTTCAAACGAGAAGAAAGGTGCAGTGTACCCCCAGGACACCTTGCTGAGCCATTTGCACGAGCTTTTCCAGGGGATGGATGCCGTGCTTGGCGTCGTTCTGACTCAGGAGGTCGACAAATTCGTCAAAGTTAAGCGTGCCGTCGTTGTTCTTGTCAACTTCATGCAGCAACTGATGAACCTATTCAATTCTCGTCATGACTTCTGAGGAGGAGGATGGAGTCGCTACCTCTTTAATTGTGTTGGCGTAGCCGAGGACAAGCATTGGCCATGCCAGCTCGGACACACTGATGCTGCCCGACTTGTCTTGATCGTACGAGTCAAACCACATACGCAGATGCTGGTACCGCGTGATGTGTCACCAGTCCATGGAGACTTATGGGTACCTTTAAGTGGGTTGCTTTGTGCTTGACCTTCAAGTACGGCTTTAGTTTGCGCTTCTTCAACCACGACATGTCTTCTCCGAGGGCATGGATAGTCCTGTGGTCATGCATGACTTCGGCCTCTTTTTGCTTGGACACTCTGAGCGCGTCCAGCTGCTTCACCAAGTGGACGTACGGATTAGCGGCGCTGCCGCGGCGCGCCGCCATGTCACGGTCGGTTACACGAAGTGCGAATGTCGGTGGGAATATCACCAACGAATGCACAGAAATGTTCACAAGCGTTACAATCTACTACTGCACTGCAAAACGAGCTCATTTTCAAATTTGCGCGCGAAACCTCAAGGCTTGACGGCCAGGCCCTCGAACATCTCACCGACCTAATGTGCGGCGTGAGGGGAAGCGACAGACATCACGAGAGAATGAGTGCTGCAGACTATACCAGTTGTTTGGTGGTGGGAAGAAGTTCCGTCGTGGCGGATACCCCTCGCAGCGGCGACCCAGGAGGTTGAACTGCCGACGGAGACAATGCGTCGTGGAAGTCGTCAGAGCTTGTGGATCCTGCAGTGGCGCAGAACGCATCTTCCTCGGGCGATGAAATCGTGTCTTGAACGTTTGAAGCTGACGCGACGTCTTTTGATTGCAAGGGCGATGGCGGATTCGATTCGGGCGACACGTCGACTGGAGACAAGCTCGCGTACTTTCCAATCACCCCAAGTCCAAGGATTTTTTCGTGGATGAAATCTCCGAGCGCGACAGAGTTTTGCATGAGCAGTTTCGTGCATTTGTGTCCGTTGTTCACTTGAAGCTGACGGATTGAGTTTTCAAACGACATTCCCGCAATCACGACATCATTCACGGCGACAATGTGGTTTTCAGGCAAAATGTCGACCCAATCGATATCGTCAGGGGTGCCTTGGACTAATTATGCATGAGTTGAACCGTAAAGAGGGACAAGGTGTTACCAATTCCAATGCGCTTCAATGCAATTGTGGGCTGGTCGAAGAATTCGTACTCGGAGACACTCTCAACTTCGACCACTCGATCGTAGAGGTACAGTTCGTATTGAAATACTTCGCCGATTGACGCTTGGACAGATGCTGTGCAGCCGCTGGCAACAACGACGCGCGATATGGTGTTTATGTCTACGCGCAAGCGCAATTACGACACGTATTCAATGCAATAGAACAAGAGGAACATACCGCATTTCACGTAGACAAAGCGGTAAATACAGGGTACGGCGCCATAGTCGCATTTGAAGGACACTTGACTGGTTGCACCAGCCGGGACGGGTTGCACTGGTCCAAGTTCAAGGTTCGTGTCACCTGCTTCGTTGTAAATCAGCAGCTGGATGTAATCCTTCGGCAAGTGGTTCTCTGGGACATCGATTTCGACGGTCACGATCGAACCCTTTTCGATATGACTGCCAAGCCGAATCTCGGCAATGCCACTCGACCGAAGACTCAGCAACTTCAGCTTGTACTCGTTGGGTTCTGTGACACGATGCAAAATCCCCGCCACATCCTCCGCCACTTTGATTGAGTCCGGGTATCCAGAATGCAAGAGAAGATCCTGACGCCATTTTGTCAATTGAAGGACTCAAAAACTTGCCCACCTGAGGAAGCAATCCAAGGGAGTCACGGGTTGGTAAGGCACCATGTTTAAGCAAGCACTCTACGGCAGCGTCATTTTGGGCTTGACACGCATAGTGCAACGCTGTCCACCCTTTTTCGTCGCGATGGTCAAGGTTGGCTTGCTTTTCCACAAGAAGGTTGATCATTTCGACGACAAGCTGCTTCTTCTGCGCTGCGATTGAGAGAGAATGACCAGTCGAGGGATCTGTGTCCGAACCGATGGACGGAAACGCTTCGCTCTCGGACCGTTCGCTCATGCCATCCTGTTGTTGTTGCGGCGTTGGACTGGGGGCCTTGACTACTGGATCGCTTCCTGCAGCTACAAGAAGCGCCGTCCGGCCGTACTCGTCGACTTTCTCGACGTCCGCGGTCTCTGACGACGCCTGCAAGAGTTCCTTCAGGCCAGTGACGTCTCCCTCGCGGCACCGATCATGCACTGACGCGCTGTTGCCCATGACGATGTGGAAGGTTTGATCGCGTTGTGGCAATTCGACGCACTCGGGCATGGGGGAGAAAAGCCCAACCAGGAGCGATCTAATTGGATGTTTTCAACCAACCCAATCGCGCGAATCCACGGAACTCAGCAAATCCAACCAATCATCATCGAGTTGAACCTTGCCCCAGACAAGTGTGTGTGATCTAATCGCGCCTCGGCGGCACGTCCAACGGATGGCCACAAGTGGCTCTTGAACGAAGATACACAAGAGCGAATGGAAACCCTCAATGAAAGCGCAATGCTTCTGCACACTTCTTCAAGACAACGGAGACATGTAGGTGGGCGACGGAACATCGAGCGTATTTTTTTGGGTTACGAGAGGGGAGAGGGATTTTGATAGATCACGTCGTAGGTCGTGTCGCTCAAGGCAAATGGGGCAGCGCTCTGATAACTCTACCTTGTTTCGCCGTTCAATGGTGGATTTGCTCATGTCGACGCGCACAAATTCGCGAGTTCTTCATCTGACAACGGGTCGTCGTTGACGTCATTTTCCATGAAGTCTGCGGTGGAACGTTCCGAGGCAGATGACAACGGGCGGCCTTCGTCGATCCACGAACATCCACCACGCAGCATAGTCATGCCGTTGCCGAGCATGAGTCCATCAAAGCACATTTCGAGCGGCAGTTCATCTTCGTCTTCCGTCATGGGAACGATCGGACGCCACGTGCTAGCGTGGACGCGTTCGAGCGCGGCGGCAAGGTTGACCTTTACCTTGCCGCCACGGAAGCGTTTGGGCTGCGGTACCACGACCTGCCGTTCCGCCACAGGTGATGGTTGCTTTCCCATACACTGATCCGCTCCAATTCGGAGTGACAAGGGGAATGAAATGGCGGCTTGGAGTTGAGTTGGAGGGACGCGATTCGAGGGTGGTCCGTATTGAAAAGTAGTTCTCATCCTTATGGCTGCAAGATCACAGATTTTACGACCCCTATGCACTTAAAGCCAGGTAATCCATTCGAGCCAAGATCGAGAGATTGGGCAATCGAAGCGATATTTTTTTATTCCTAGTCAGCGACATCCCATACAAACTGCAGGTGAGATCAACGCAACTCACACACGTACGTATGCATGTGATGGATCATGAAACCGGGTGAGATCACAAGCCACGTCGACGCACACGGTGGCTATCCGTTGGACACTTTCTGGTTCGACTCGTGGGAAGTTTTCGGCGTCCAGTGTACACCGATATGGCATGCGCGAGCTGTGATGGCCCACGTTGCCATGGAAAATGAAAAATACGACGCACATCCCCGCTTCCACGACGATCTCGCGCTCAAGCGCTTCATCGCATGAGCGTGGTGCCATCCCACCCAACGGTGTCTTGCTGTCCAGATCCTTCCTCGTTTGATGGAACAACTTTTCACGAACGACACGACAGAGCAGTGGGACGTGCGATCGCTTTGGACACGAACTTGAGCAATTTTTACTTGATATTTGTAAGGGACCCGTTCCCTCCATGTTTAGTCCGCATTGATGCAAGATGTCCAGACGTACTCTTGTTTTGTATGAACTCTTATAAGAACGATTTGCCTTGAAAAAAGAGAGGAGCTGGAGTGGCGACAGCGCATGTTGCGCACACAGGAGCGAGCGGAGGACGTGTGTGCTGTGGCGCACTCTGGAGCGAAGCGGCGGACTTTTTTGCAGGCGGTGCCTTGGCGAGAAGTGAGCCTAAATCGTGCGTATCACCGACCTTTCAATCTATTCCTCTCGTCTGGAAAAGTGGTAGGTACGCTTGCAGGCGGTTCCGCTCCCACGACGAGTCATAATTACAATGACTCGGCACATTCACGATCGTATTGTTCGTCCCAAGTACAACGCCGAAGCTTGCCGCGTGACCACGCTTATTGTACGAAAATATCACATAAATACGATAATTTCATCCAAAATTCTCTGATTGGTCAGATCTTTTTGCGCTCTGATTGGTCGATAAAAAAATCGAACTTTGCAATCGACAGGAAAGAAGTCGAGGGCCGAAAATACGAGCCACTTCTTCCGTCGTCCTGTGAACCCGTGAACTGCTGTATTTGTACACTTCTTCAGCCAGCTGCATCTAATACACAGGCGCCTTTTCAACGTTCTGGTTAATTCACATGGCTCGTACTAGTGGAGTATCACGGAGCCATGTGAAGTATTGTCCCATTGCCATTGGTTCTGCCCGTAGATTTCTCAACATCGCACGATGCACTCTGCCAATCCTGCAGTTCTCTTCAGAAACTCCCGGACTGGTACCATGCAGCGCAAGTTCATAGTTTGCCCTTGAGTAAACCTATGGTGCAAGCGCGTCGCGCGACAGGTCCCGCAAGGCGGCGACATGAATGCGACGTACTACGCCGTGAGAATTGTATTGGTTGACTATAGGTCGACAATGGCGCCAAGTCTCTGTACTATTCGAACCCGCGAGGCGATTGCGTGATGCTGAGGGGATTGTCTTATCTGTACTGCGAATTTTGCATTGGCCATGTCAGATCCTGTCCACCATGTTGTGTCGCAACCCCGATTCAAAATTTCAGCGAGCAGCGATCGCGGTGGAAATCGACAAGCAGGGGTTTTCCAGTCCGCTGTGATTGCGTCGGTTACTGTATATTCGGAGCCAGTCCTGAAAAACTTCCAGCCAATCATCTTTCAATTTCATTGTGGTTCTCCAATCTCTTGTCGAGAATTGGTCGTGAACGAATGATATTGGTGATGTCAGTCGAGAAAATAGTACTCTAGCAGCCCATCCTTCGGTTTTCCAGTACCAGAACGAAAAGACATCGACTTCAAACGTCAACCATGCAATGTTACACCACATAGTAAAGTCAAAAGTGCACAAGCGAGTTGTTTGGCAGCACGACAACACACATGGGAGCTTGTGATTTTGGCCAATAGAATCATTTCATCATTCTAAATGATATTTTACCAAGAGTTTATATTTTTTGATTTTCTGGTATTGAACGATGCAACGATTGATCAAAATAGTTGCTGAATTGCGAATAATACCGTACTAACGTTAGTACAGTAGTTGGAATGCATTCCTTCCACGAGATGCATTTGTCCCATGCCTGTCCACAATGACCGCAACGACTGCCGAAGGAGTCACATGGATCGATATGCCACTGACGCCAGCCATGATAAATCACTCCTAGTGCCGTTTTCAAGCGAGGTGCATGCGACGAACGAGCGAGCGCTCCACACCAAACAACGAGACATCTCGACAACCTCCCCGAAGCGCTAACGGCGCCACAAGTGTCAAGTCTTCAAATGCGAATCAAGACATTACACAAAAGCAGGAAAAGCTGGCGCTGTAATCCTTAAGACTCTCCAGGGATCCTGTCGATGTTGGTTCGTAACATGGCACGCCGTTGTGGTTGGCCGCGATCAAAGAGTCAATCTGGGCTGCGTCTGGTCATTATTGCGTGCCGAAGTGGCCCCAGTGGACTCTTGTGGTTTTTCAAGTGGACGTGTGGCGCAAGCTGTGGGTCCCCATGGCCATCCAAGTCGACCATTCTACTTGGCGCCATCAAGTGCCGTCTAGGTTCGCTCGACGACGTGGACGTAGTGAATTTGGAGGTTCCACCATCAAGGTCGTCGATCCAGATTGCGATGGCGCTTGGCTCGTCCTCGCCAGGATGCGTGCTCCGCCATTGGCGAGCGAAATCCACCCAAACCATTGGAAGCGAATGAAACGGCTCAATTGCTGCAACGGCCACCCGCCAGCCACCGACTCCTCGCATCGTCGGCCATGTCGATTCTAGAGCGCGCGGCAGAGTATTGCGCGACTCCAGCGTTTGAGCGAGTGTTTGACGAGTTTGCAGCGTAAGCTGTCGACCCCATCTTCGTCACCAGTGGTCACGTGTGCTGTGGTATGTAGCGAGCACGCGGCGTCGTTCGAGGAAGCGGCCGAGTCCAAAACGGACGAAGTCGAGCACAAGCACGAGTACAAGGACCTGCATGCAGAGTACCTCGCGTTGTTTGAACGCCACATCCAAGGTGCGCTTGCGTTGGCATTCGACGCGTCCTCCATCGCACACGCGACTCGTAGGGTTCCTCGACAGAGAAGACGTGACGCCGAAAGATTTTTACGCGGCGTGCGAAGAGGCCATGGACGGCAAGACTTCGTACGGCGACTACAAGTGGTTTGTCGATCGGCTCCTGGCATCGATGGACTACAAGTTGTTTTACGGCCTCATGGTGAACGAAGCGCGAACGCAGTTGCGTCGCCGAAAGTAGTGACCGTGGATTCCACCGACCACGAAGTACCCCATGATTTCAACATGGTGGTTTTCCCATGCTAAAGCTGCGTGCGAGCCAACGACGTGTCGCCAAATCCATCGCGGCCAAGTGATCGGACGCTCTGCTTTGGCGTGCTTGGACCCGGTCGATGGCCATGACGGCTCACTCATCTAATCTCGCTATGTCCATGCATTCGCGGCAGAACCCATCGGGGACGGTGACAACAGCTAGCAGCGACATGGCGCTCTTGCCTCGATGCTGTCGTCGGTCGTGGTGGCAGCCGACCCCTCTCGGCAACCACGGCACCTCTACTCCGAACGCGACGCATGTCCCAGGGATTTCGCCGTCTACATGTGAACGAGTGATGCAGAACGTGGAAAACATTGGCACAAGCAGCGCGACGTGAGCGATCGAAGCATGGATGGGTCGTTTACGTAGCCACGGGAGGTGCAGTGGGCCACAGGTTGCTGTCTTGGTCTAGATGGAGAAAGTCGATGACTTGGCAAAACAAGGCGTGGTTTACCCACGGCACGATGCGGACGTGCAGCGGGTGGTCCGTTGGGAACAGTTCCATCTGCAACGGAAGGAGCATGTCGACATGGGCCCAGACGGCGGCCGTGACGAACCGACCGAGGATGCGATCGATCGTTGTGGCGTCGACTTGGTGTGTTGGCGCGTGCTGGATTAAGTGAAGGTGGCTAAATGCCTTGTGCAGCACCGGCACCGCATTGATCCAGTACTGGAGCCACGGATACCGCCGACAGAGGGCGGTCACTTGGCGGACAAGGCCAAATGTGAGCGGACCGGTGTGGGGTGTGATTGCGTACGATCGGTTGACGGGCATGCCAGCCGCCGACAGCAGGACGACTCTGTCCCTAGACATGGCCATGACGTGCTGGACATGCATCGGCAAAAACAACCCACGTACACGTGCGCTGGAAACAGCTGAGCGTAGCGCAGGGACACAGCACCGCCCATCGAGATGCCGGCAAACGTGAGTTTGTTGGAGGGATCGACGTGCCAGTTGGCGCGGACGATCGCGTCGCGGACTTGGTGGACAAAGACGGAAGGGAGGTGTTCGTCGTACGACGGAAGGTACGGCGTATATCCGTGGCCGATAAAGTCGACGAGGAGGACAGAGTGGCCATGAACGCGATGGAGCTTGAGCGCTGTTTGTTTCCAATCCTTGTGGCTCATGTGCCACCCATGGAGGAGCACAATGCGCCGACGTCGAGTCGGTCGTGGGGTGTCGTCTGTCGCGATTCCAGGAGAACACTAAAGTACTTGGGGTGGGACGGGGCGTGCCGACAACCGCATGGATGGGTGGACAACCGACGGTGCACCACGAGGTGCGCGTAGTGCACAAGGAGGATGCAGTCGCGAGTCCGCGAACGCATCGACGGGTCGTACACGGCCCGGTGAAGCAGCGCCGTGCGAAGCCATAGAGGCAAGATACACCATCGCGCTTCGATCTCGAGCGACACATGCAGGAGCGTCGCCATCACCTGGCAAGGTGGAAAGAACGGGATGAAGATGCCACCCAATGGGTATTGCTTCCGTGTGGGAATTTTGGCCTGTCAAGTTACAACCACGACACACGCAGCTGCCACGAGCGGAGTCCATGAGGCCACGGCTAGCCCATGTTGCCGCGCACTGGAAGGACGACGCTGCTGGGATGGAGCTACGGGGGGAAGTTGCACGTTGGGGCAAGCGCACGTGGAATGCCATTCCAACACAAGTGCCGAACTCGGATGGGTCCGTAGGACGACTGTCCCTCCGTACGACCGGCCCTCGGCCGGCTTTTATTCCGTTCCTGGCAACCTCCTCGATCCCGAGTCGACTCCATCATGTGGCGACTCGAAGCGGTGGCGGCAGCGACACTTCACCCTGGAGATTGAGCCAACTACCCACCGACTTGCAGTCTTCCTAGCGCTTCCCTACGCCAATACATCGCGCCCTGCCGGCTACCCCTTTCGCTCGTTCACACATTCGAAGCATCGTCCATCCCTCCCAGCACCGTCCATGGCGCTTGTTCGATCCACCGACATGGCAACGCGTTTGTCTTTGTCCATTCGACCTAGCACGTCGACACCATGCCCAAGAAAACCCGTGGCCTCTGCCCATGGGACTCGCATTCACAGCATGGACTCTTTTTCTACGCCAACAAGTTGCGCTGCGACTCTTCCTCGCCTTCTTCGACCGTGTCCATCGCGCTAAAGTTGAAAAAGTGCGTCTTTCGGTGCACTTCGTGGTAAAATTCCTTGGGGTTGCCGACCTTGACGTCATACTTCATCCCGGTGGTGTGCTTGACCCCCATAAAGTTGTAATTCCACACGTCTTCGTCTGGAATCATAAAGTACCCGAGGAATCGATCCGAGAGCAGCATCTGGACCTTTTCAAAGTGCGTCGGGAGGTACCCCGACGGGCTCGGGCCCGTGTCGCGGTTCGTCTTGCCCCAATCGTACCCGGCCGGGGTCAACTTGTACGCGGTCAGCGAGCACGACCCCGGCGTGAAGCTGCACGTGATCGTGATGGTTTTCTCGCCGTCCCACGCCGAGTTTTCGGCAAGGAGCTTCGAGTGCATCGTAACGTCTTGCGGCGGCAATTGCGGCATCTCGTTCGGCTGTGTGTGAATCCACCCAAGGCACTCCATCGTGTCCAGGTACTCGTGGGACGGCGCGGTCGTCGGCAGCGTCACGTTCTGGTGGGTGCCCAGCTGCGGCGGCATCACAATGCATCGAATTTCCTTCACATGCGCGTTGTCCGGGGGGCTGACGCCGTAGAGGAGGCCCGCGACTTGCGTGCGCAAGTCGGAAATCGTGATAAACTTGTTCAGGACGTTCTTGGGCAGGACGTATGTCAGACCAGTCTCCTTGATATCGTCCGAGTTGACGTAAATGTGGTTCGTGCGCAAGTGCAAGTTGGTCGCCGAGATCGCACGCACGCGCCAGTCCGTCTTGGACGCAAACGAGTGCTGCTCGTACTGCGACGTGGTCGTGATGACCATTTCGTCGCCGTGGACGTTGACCGTTTTGGTCGTGACCGCAGTCAGCTGCGACTGCTCGCGCGCTTGCGACTCGATTTCGGCCATTTGCTGGCGCTGCAGCGACGGCGCCGAGATTTCCATGCCGAGAATGATGTCGCGGATCTCGCTCTGCGTGAGACTCGCCACATTCACGTTGTTTTTCTTCCCGTAGTCGTTCAAGATCAAGTCTTTGAGCGACACTTCAAGCTTGAGCCATGCTTCGTCCGACAGCGACGGCCAAATGTGGTGGTCCTGCGTAATCGTGGTCGCATCTGGCCGCAGGAGCAACTTGGTCCGGTCCTGGCTCACGTGCAGCGCGCGCAGAATCAAAATGAGCCGCGAAAACGCCGTGTAGCTCGTGATCGTGCTCAGCCAGTCGTCGTAAATGTTGAACAGGACCATCTGCGGCTCAATCGCGCGCAGAATGAGGTCACCAAACTTTTCAACCTTGAGGCACGCCTGAAACGGCAGCTGGAGCTCCGAGCCCTTGATTACAATGTTGGGGAAGTCGAGCAAGTGGACTTCGAGCGGGTCGAGCATGCCCTTGCGCGTCACAATGATCTGCTTGGGCTGCTCTTCCACGGGAAGCGACCGAATGAGCGCCGCGACTTCTTCCGCCGTCTTCCACTTGGCCAACTGCCCCAAGCGCTTTTGCCCGGCCCACACGGACGTGTGGATGATCTTGAGAAAGAGCTGACCGGTGCGCGGGTTGAAGATAAAGATCGCGCCGTTGATCGGTTTCGTCGTCAAGTTGCCTTCAAATGTCTTGTGGATCGTGACGCGGTACACGTTGGTGTCGTCGACAAACCAGATAATTTGGTTCGAAAAGAGCTCGCCGTAGTTTTGACTCGACAGGTACGGCTCGGTCGGCTCGGACGAGTACAGCTGCAGGCCCTTGCGGATGCGCTCGCGGAGGACATACATGGCCGGGTTGGCCTTCATGATCTTGGCCATGGCTTGCTGCATCAGCGGCTTGCATCCTGTAAACCAGTTGCCGTACCCGCTGTACAAGTTGTACGCCAAATCGACAGCGAGGAGGACGCCGGTCGGCGACGGGTAGATGGTCATGTTGTCGGTCGTGTAATCTAAAAACTTGGCGCGCGCGTACCGCTCAATGTCGTGCGAATCAAAGTCGCCCCACCGCAACTGGACATCGATCCAGTACTTGGTCGACGTCGATCCGTCTGCGCTGTCCTTGACGTCGTGGAGCAGCGTCGGGCGGCCCATCTGCCACTTGTACGACGCAAACAGCAAAATGTCGGCGCAACTCGAGTTCATCTTGTACGACTTGCGCGGGTGAATCGTTTCCTTTTGAACGTTTTCAATCGACAGCGCGTCCAGCTCCTGGTCAAACACTTGACACAAATCCATCACGAGCGACTCGTGGATTTTCTGCCACAAGTGGGCGCGGAAGATCTGAATCAGCGAAATCTTGAGCGTCGGGATCTTCCCGTGCATGAAGATGCCCGTCAAGTCGAGCTGGACTTGGAACCCAACGTACACGTTTGCGCGGTTGATTGTTGGCGACCACCACAGCGTGAACCGACGGTTCGGAATCTGGTTCAACCCGGACCGCTGCGCATTCGTCAACTTTTTGTACTTCATCGATTCCTCAAACCCGGACGCTTTCTCCCAAAAGAGCCCTTCCCATGTCGGAAAGTACGTGCCTTTGAACAGCGTGTGCTCGAGGATGCCTTCGACACCGCCCAGCGCCTGGATCATGTCCGTGCGGTAGTTGTTCAAGTTCCACAGCTTTCCGTCGTGCCGCGTGTGCGTCCACCAAAATGGATTCTGCCGCAGCACTTGGTACTTTTTGAAATCCGTGCGCACACGCCACCCCTTGTCGTACGCGAGCGTGTGCCGATCCTTTTGGAACAACGTGTTGATGCGAGGAATGCCGCGATCCCACGAGTCTTCCAAGTCCTCGAGCGTCAACCGACGATTCTGGACCGTCGCTTCCTGGCGCTTGAGCGCGTATTCGGCCCACACGCGCTGCGAATCGATAAACTCCGACTCCCACGGCTGCAAGTACCGAAATAAGTTGGGAATGAGCTGGTCTTCTTCGTGACTCATCCCGCTTCGAAAGTGCGTGATTCCGCCTACATCCATGCCGTCAACATCTCTCGACGTCCGTCCAGACTCTCTCTACCTTCCGTTTGCTTCGAGTACCGCATATCCGACTGCGGGATCAAGACATGGCCCATGCTGAGCATGCCCAAGCCTCCGAGTTCCTTTGGCGTGTAAAACACAACTGGCGGGAACCGCGACGGCATCTTCGAGTTGAGCCCAATCTTAATCCGTGTTTGAATCTTGTTCTCGCACTTGACCAACAAATCCAGCAGCTCCTGTGTCTGCACGACGCTCTCGCGGTAATACGTCATGAGCCCGATCAACGCGGCGTTCCATTTGTTGGCGACCTTGGTGAACGTTGTGCTCCCGCTCGACATGAGAATCGATCGCACGCGGTTCTCAAATGACTTGATCGCGTCCTCGTCAACGCGGAGGTAAGCCTGCGCCGTCCGTTCCTTGGTCAGTTCGTTCTGGAGGTTCCACACACCATCCTTGTGGGCAAACTCGTCCTCGAGTGCTCGAACGCGCGGAAGGATGCGGACGTCGAATCCGCACATGTTGAAGAGCAAGTTCGGGTTGTCTTTCGAGTAGACCGAGACGAAGCTGTGGTCCCACTCGAGCGTCGTCATGGATCGAGGAAGACGGTTCTTCATATCCCAAAACGTCGCGCGGCCCAAATTCACGTCGTGCTTCATCAGGCGCATGCGGGCGTCGCGGGGCCAGCACTTTTTGTTGTTGTATCCAACAATGTTTTCGTTGTTCGGGTCCGGGTGCTCGGTCAAGTAGCGCTGGATCAGCTCGCGCGAGTCGACCGCGTCAAACTTGTACACGACGTAAATACGGTCAATGTATCGCGTGTACATGCGGATCGGATGATGGGTTTCCGTTTCCGTGTCCTTGAAAGCAAGGTATTCGTTTGGAAACTGCGGCGGCCCAGCGATCTCGGATGCGCGCGTGAGCCCGAGCAGGAGCAGGTCGAGGACAAGTCCGTAGTACTGAAAGATAAACGACCCAAACTGGAGCCCACGAATGAGCCCGTACGAGTTGGTGTGCATCATGTCCTTGTACGCAATCACAATGTTGTTCTTGGCAGTCATGTAGTCGGCCATGTTGTGGTCCAGGATCAATCGCAGCAACCGGTTCAACAGCGTCAAATCCATCTTTTCCGCGACTTTCTCGAGCTTCGTCTCAAGCATGACGACGCACTCGCCGTCATCGCACGACCAAATCTTGTGCAGATTGTTGATGCCCTGGCACCACTTGTACACGAGGAGCGGCGGCGGCTCCGAGTCGCTCGGCTTGATCCAGCTCGGAAACAAGTGGCGCTTGTCCGCTTCGTACCACAAGTACTGATCCAAGTACGCGTCCGTGATCTTTTCCAGCGGCTCGATCTCGTACACAGGGATCAAGTGCGAGTACAGGTCCATAAACTCAATCGACATTTCCTTGAACGCGCGCTGCGTGAGCAGGTGGCGCTTGATGCGGCTGAGCGCTTCGTGCGGGTTGTCGTACGCTTGCTCAATGAGTCCGAGCTCCTCGCGCTGCGACTGGTTCAGTCGGTTGTTGGCCGAGTAGTTTTCTTTGAGCCGTTCCAGCGCAAGAATCAAAAGCTTTGTGTCGTGTTTGTACGAGAGCGGAGGAAACGGAATCGGAGCAAACTTGCGCGACTCGAGCCAGTGGACCGTGGTCGTGTACACGGCGACGGCTTCTTCAGCCGACACGTACGGCCCGTCCTTGAGGTAGTTGTGCTGGCGCTCTTGCTCGGCCTTGAGCCAGAGGCGCGTGAGCCGCCCGAGATTCTTCTTGCACACAGTCTTGTCGACCGTCGCGCCGCGCTTGATTCGTTCGCGGTTGTAGTGCGCAACGTTTGTCCACCAGTCGGCCTTGCTCTTGACGTACCGCAGGATCATGTTTTCAATGGGGGCGGGAAGCCCCGGCACTTTCCACGGGATGTTGGCCTTCCAGCACCGCCACGCTTCGCTCAAGTGCTGGAGAATCGTGCGACTCTTGTTGGCCTTTACCCCTTCCGGCATCATGTCCAGGATGTCGTGCATGACGGCGGCACGCAGTTCCAAATCAAAATGCGACTCCACTCGCTGCTTCGTCACGGTCTTCGCGATCCCCTTCGAGTGGCGCCCTTCAAACTGACGCGCGAGAAGGTTCCCGAGCCACCGCTCCAAGAGCGGGACAATTCCTCGCAAGAAAAAAATCCACACGCGCCACGCCGGCGCCCAAAACCCACAGCCGGGACCTTTCCCGACCGGCCCCGTGTTGAACCGGTAGTAAATCAAGTGCTTCAAGTCCTTGCACATGCGGACTTGGCGCATCAACCGGTACTTGTATCGGTACATGCCCGTGAGCTGGCCAACGTGGGCGAAAATGTACTGAAGGCCGTCTGCGAGCTGGAACGCATCGACGTTGCCGAGGCGGTACTGCACATGGGCGTCGACGATGAGTTTGGTCAAGCGCAAGATCTCGCGGGTCAAATGAAACGCATTCCCAAAGCGCGACTTCTTGCGCTCCTTCGTCGTTAGCGTCTTGATCGGTTTCAAGTTAAAGTTGTAGTCCAAGTGGAGGTAGTTCAGGTTCTTGCGATGGATGAGCAGGTTCAGCATGTTGTACCCTTGCCGGCACACCTGCAGCCCCGCTTCGACCCAGTCTAGCTCGGTGCTCTGGAAAAACTTGGTCGACTTGAGCGACTTGAACAAGTACTTTTTGTTGAGCGCCTTGGGCGGGCGCGCGTGGAGGTGGTTGAGCACCCAGCACTTGAGCAGCTTCTGGTAGCTCACGCGGACCTTGACCGGTTGATTCGGGGGACAGTGCTCTTGGAACCATTTGTTGACGAGGGGCACATCCACGGCACGACGAGTCTTGCCCATTCGCAGATTAAACGGTCGCGGCGCCCAGTACAGCGCGATCCCGCTTGCCGTGTGCTCCGTGTAGAGCGGGAGGTCCGTCAGAATTGGGGCAAATCCCATCGGCATTTGAAACTCGTCCTCTTCGTCGTCGTCGGCCGGCGTGTCCGACTTAGTTGCCGCGACGCGGAACTGCGAAATCGGGTTCACGATAGGGTCGAAGTAGAACGCGGGCAAGTCGGGGTCTTCAGCCTTGACGTAGCACAGCGCCGGCACGTGGTACGGCTGAATGTGGACGGCTCGCGGGCGGCTGTTGTACAAGTACGGAAATGCGACGCGGTACTCTGTGCGGATCTGGTGGCGGATGATAATCTTGTTGATGTCGTTGAACTCGTTCCAATCCTCGTCGTCCTGATCGAGGTCGCGATAGAGCGGCTCGAACTTGGGACCGCCGGGGATCGCCACGTTGAGTGCCTTGGCCGTGAAAAACGATTCCTTGTCAAACAGGTACTGGTAGTTGGGGTCAATGAGGTCGCTGAGGAGTTGCCCCGCCAACCGATGAAGGTTGGACATGACCGGGACTGGCAACTTCCACTTGCGGTAGCTAGGGCCATTGATGAACTTGGTTCCGAGCAGCGGCTTGGCGTCGTACAGCCATTCAATCACCGGCGCGTCGTCGTCCTCGTCGAGCTCCATGTTGATCGCTTCCGACGGCTCGACGTCCAGGATGTTATCGCCATAATCAAGCGGCGGTTCTTCGTCATCGAACGGTGGAAACCGCATGCGTTTGAAGTGACGACGGTCGCGCTTCTCGCGACGCATCATGATCCACATCGTGCCCCATTGCGCAATGTAGACGGGTTCGACGACCCACGGTATGTCATTTACGAACGTGATTGCGCCTGTGATGTGGTACAGCACCTTGACTTCACGCACTTGTTCCCACGGCATCGGCATGTTTTCCAATAACTTGAACACGGCGTGGGGAACATACTTGAGAGCACCAAGATACACGCGCTTGTCATGTCGGAACTTCTTGTTGCTCATGTCCCCATGGTCGCGCACGATCTTGCGCACGTGTTCCGCGGGCATGTCGTCTTTGGTGCTTTCGACAAACCCAAACTTGCGCTTGTCGCCATATCGCTTCGTCTGGCGCTTCGCCCAGCGTCGACTGCGTTCTTCAATCTCACGAAAGTACGAATGCGCATCGTGATCGTAAGATGCAAGTGGAGGGACGTCGTCCTCGTTCTCGTCGGCCTCCTGAACTGGAATTTTCGTGAGGGGTGGTGGCGGTGGTGGTGCAACATTTGTCAACGGAGGAGGTGGTGGAGGCGCGATCGAGCCTACTACCTCATACCCTCCAGTATTTAATGGAGGTGGTGGCGGCACATGAGCCCCTCCCTGATGGAGTGGCGGAGGTGGCGGCGGAACGACCATCTCTCTTCCTCTGGACTCGGCTTCTCGCTTCGTCCCCAGCCACAGAACGATGGAATTGCCCAACGCGGGTCGAATGCTTATCCGGATGATATAAATTATCCGTAACAATGGATTCGAAATTTCCTGAATCGAAATCGGCGCCGCAAAGGAAGACATCCGACTAGGAGCAGAGGTGTATGAAGGTAATGCAGCTTGGCTTCTGCACCATCTCGAGGGTAATATGAATGGAATGGAGGCAACCGTCGTGGTAACAACTGGTGGATGCGACGTCCATCGATCTCAGAGACAAGCGCAGCATCCACACGCAGACGAATCAAAGACGCTTTTGGGATAAATTCGGCGACTGCCGCGTTGTATGGGGTTTCGACCTTACAAGTCAATTGCAGGCACCACCATCATGCCAGTCACACTGTCGGTAAGGATGCCACAGACGTGCACGACTCGTACTGGTGCGAACTCATGAAGATTGAGGGGCTCCTGCACGAAGGCCAATTCGTCGGCTCGGTAGAGAAATTTAGTGACGGCATTGCCTTAAGTAGTGCCTGAATGCTCGTGGAATATGGCTCAAGCGATGCTGCAATTGTTATAATTACGAGATAAAATCAATGGGAGCTCCAGTGAACAGCGCCTTGAGGTGTGTGTTGTGGTGGATTGCATGGGGGAGCGCTATACATAGTCCTACGTGCGGCGCAAACTGTTCGACCTAGTGACCGAGTGCGATGTAATGGTCATGGATTCCGCGACAATTTGCTCTTGTTTCAACTTTGGATCCATGGCGCTGGGATGTTGCGGGCGTTGGTTCCACGCCAAAGTGAATGGCTTCACTGCCGTTGAAATGGGATGCACCATCACGGAACGGGACAACACGTCGGGGTTTGGACGAGTCTTCCAGCTCGTGTCACGATTGTAATACGGCAGTTCCAAGTGCAGGTTTGAGCACTGTGGTTTGAACTGCCAGCATGCATTCGCGCTACACCTCCCACCGCGTGAACAAACTTACGAATACTATCCAACGCACGCCCTTCGTTTGCGCAGTGCTGAGGGCCAACCCTTCGCATGTAAGGAACCCAGCGAATCGCTGGGACTCTCGGCGCACATGAGACGAATTCTTTCACGACGACACGTTCGGTGCACACCTGCCTCTTGCGAGGTGTGTAGCACAACATTTTTCGATTTTAAGCCAATCCTGAATGCTGACTTTCAAACATTTTATCCAATAAAATGTCGACAACATGGACACATTCACCTCATGAGCCTAAACGAGCGCTGATTGGTTGTAACCAAATAAATTTAGCCAATCAGGGCAAGTTCATGATGGCACTCCCTTACCAGAGGTTCTCAGATAGTCCGTCGAAATAGTTCATTTGGTGGTGATTCATTTCAAAACAGTTTATTGTTTGAAGTGATTTAGAAACCGTGGTAGTATCATCTATTTTGTCTGCCTGTCGTTGAATATAGCACGGAGCCGGCACAAGAATTTCAGTTTTCACCAACGATCACGCACGACGATGGAGAGTGCCGCCGCCTTTGCGCACCAAGTGACCCCCTTTCTGACGTCAGGACATCAGCTGTATGCAGCATCTTGCCGCGATACCATGCGCCGCTTCCATACCCAGTCTCCTGTGACTCCGGCGCAGATTCAGGTCCTTGAACAGCAGGGAAATCGAGGTATAACCGCAACAGTGTCTGAGTCACCTGACACAATTTCCATGGCGCTTGCTCTAGCGGATTCGTGGGACAGTGTGTACACGAAAGGGAGCGCGGCTAGCCTTAAGCGTGTCCGGAACTGTACCTTCCGGGGTCGCGTCTATCTTGGTATGCTTCCTCATGCGCTTCTGGATGCATCTCTCATCTTGTCACACAGGCGACTTCGAGAAGGACGTTATGGTAGACAACGTGCCCTTTCCGAGCGGATGCTACAACTCCACTGTCGTTGACAGCTACGTCCTGGACAACGCATTGGTGCAAGACACGTTTCTCCTCCACCGTTCGGCATCCTCAGTCTCGGGTCAACTCCATCTCACGTCCACTTGTCTCTCTGTTGTAGGAACTTACGTGAGCCAAGGTGCCGTTATTGTCGGGTGTGGCACGATCACATGTTCTGGGCCTGAAGTCACATACGGCAATGGAACCGTGCTCAAGGTCGGCGTCGAGATCGGAGGTCGGGAAATCGCCATGTTCGCAGACATGCCATTCCACCTGGCGGCAATTGTCGGGGAGTCTCGCGGGAACGCGGCAGAGCTCAAAGCGTACGAGGACCTTGTTCGGACATATGCAAAGAGCGTGCGATGCGACGGCTTCAACGTCATTGCCCGTCAAGCCAAGGTTACATGGTCCTGTTCAATCTCTACAATTTTCTCATGTCTCGGGCATATCGTAGGTCCTTCGTTGCCCTAAGATCCGAGACGTGTTTGTCGGCGACGGCGGAGTGGTGGAAGATTCGGTCGTGTCCAACTCGACAATTCTGTCGACCCCGGCCGAATTCAGCTCGATCGTCGGGTTCTCCCAAGTGCATTCGTCGATTTTGCAGTGGAATGCCCATGTTGACGGTGGCAGTTCTGTCGAGCGATCGTTCCTATTCGACTGCTCCCACGTCGAGCGCCACGGCATGGTCATGGATTCGCTTCTCGGTACGTCCTCTTTGTACGTTAATCGATATTAACCAACATGTCTTGCAATGTTTCGCAGGTCCCAACACGGCGATTGCCGAAGGCGAGTGCACGTCGACATTCCTCGGTCCATTTGTGGGATTTCACCACCAAGCGATGATTGTCGCGGCATTTTGGCCACGTGGCCGCGGCAACATTGGGTACCGACCAGTCGTGACTTGAACGATCGTTGCTGAGAACTGTGGTAGGTACGGTGCCAACGTGGGCAGCAACCACACATTGAAAGCTCCGGACCAAGAACTATGGCCTGGCGAAGGGGTGTTTTACGGTCTATCCGTCTCGATCAAGTACCCGAGCAACTTTACGAACGCTGCGTACTCGGTCATTGCGACGGGTGTGTCGACGCTACCGCAAAAGCTTGACATGCCGTTTGCCCTCGTCAACATCCCTGGCCACAACATCCCAGAGCTCTCGCCAGCCATCAACGAAATCTACCCTGGGTACGACACTTGACCTGGAAACGAATGGCTGAGATTTGTCAGGTGGGTGTTGTCACATTCGATCTTTACCGTGTTGCGCAACCAAGACAAGTTCGACAAGCGCAACAAGTCGAAACGAACCAAGCTGGACGCACCGATCTTTCGCCCCGACATTGTCACCATGATGCAAGGTACCCATGAACGGAATCGCCACATTTGTGGCATTCGTCGCCCGTCGGTGGGATGGCGTCTCATCTGTGCCGTAGTCGCGTGCCAACGACTCGTCGATGCCGAGAAGAAACCCGTCAAGATTCGACATGGCAGAGAGATCATTTACACTGAGAAACAGGTGCGGTGGCAGTAGAACCGTGGCAAGGATTGATCATGGCGCTATAGGTGCCTGGTCTGGGCAAGAATTACATGACGGAATCGTCTCGTGTCGTGGCCATTGAAGCGTATTCGTTTTACACTCGTGTGTATGCGCTGGAAGGGTACTGGCACATGCTACAGCGCGGCGCGTTCTCGGTTGAGACCCCGCTGGACCAGGTTTCGATTCCCGAGAACCTCGACCACGACACGAAAGCGAGGTATTACGGACGAGGACGGCATGGAAGAGCCGTGTTTTTATGGAATGTCATGCGCTTCCGACTTGTAGATGGTCCCATCAACGTGCAATTTTGGCCGATGGTGTTGGCGTCGCCCAAGGCGGCGACCTTCTCCGGGAACTTGTTGCGGCCTACAAGAGCATTGCGAAAAACGCAGAAGACGGCAAATCCCGCGACGACAAGCGAGGCCAGCACATTATCCCAGATTACAACTTGGTGCACAAGAAGGCGTCGGAAGAGCGTATCGTGATCGAAGCCCATCGGTAAGCGTCTATCGGTAGACCCATCTGACAGGACTGGATGCGAGCTAGACGAGCAACCGACCTCGAACGTGCCGTTGCCAACTACTTGCCACGACTCTAGGCACCACATCCTCCATTCGACATTCTCGGAGATCTCCATCGAGCTGATCACGGTTTGACGGAGGTGATTGCGACTCCATGCCAATCCTCCACCGAGGTTTCCACAGCGCAGCTGCCGCTAGGCTTCGTAATGCAAGACCTATCATTGCCACTAGGTTCTTTGTCTTTGAAGTCATCGGAAAAGTGTTTCCGTCCGCCCGAGTGTGGGCATTCATCAAGGCGCCAGGACAACAAGGGTGACGCCTGTGCGCAGGGCAGGGTGAGGGTGCCCGCCTGCACCCGAGATTGCAGAGTGTGGTCGCGAGTATAGAGGGAACGAAGACGGTTTACTATAATGCAGAAGAGCATGGAAACCGAAAGCGGCCCAGCCGATCAGCGAATGAGGTCGCTGACGAGAGCGGCGCATCGACGACCACACATTCGTCGGCGCGTACATGCAAGCACCTAGTGGCGTGGGTTTCGACAAAACATGCGTTAAACGTTAAATACGTTCTATTTACTGTCATCGAATCTTCAATCAGTACTTCGTCGACCTGCACCCACAGCCAAAGCACCGACCTCCAGTGCAATTCTCTACCTCGAATCTACTCACGGTACACTCTCGGGATGCAGGTCACAATAATGGGAATGCGTCGCCCGACGCGTCCTCAGCGGCAACTCTACAATGCCACATCCTTCATTGGATTTTACGTTAAACTGTGTAAGCCAATGCACGGCCTTGCGTTTTTCTGGTCGAACCTAGTTCACCCGTGGTAAGTGACATGGGAGCGTACTAAATTATAGAGGTTTTCTCCCCGCCCATGACTGGTCGCTTTCACTTGCAAATTTGCATCCGAGGTACCAGGTCCGCCGCCGACGCGCTCATCCTTCCTCCCCGTCAGTCTCATTCTCCGACGGCTTGAACGCTTGTGCATGCTTTTGTGTTTCCACCGCCTCCAGCCCTTGTACTACCCGTTGGAAAAGAACAAGTTTATACCCCAATAACGACGATCCTACACCAACCATGTCGAACATCAACATTGCCGGAACGACCCCTGTAGACGACCCTGAATACCGATACAAGATGCCGCGTCTGATCGCGAAAATCGAAGGCCGTGGGAACGGCATTAAGACTGTCGTTGTCAACGCTGTCGAAATCGCATCTGCCTTGCATCGCTCGCCGGGCGAAGTCACCAAGTTTTTCGGGACGGAATTGGGCGCGCAGTCGAAATTTGACGACGCCACCGAGCGTGCCGTTGTCAACGGCGCGTTTGAAGCATCCCAGATGCAAGCACAACTCTCCAAGTTCATTGAACTCTTTGTCTTGTGCCCTAACTGCCGTTTGCCTGAAACGAAGTACAAATTTAAGGGAAAGGAAAGCATCTTCCACAAATGCCTGGCATGTGGTGCCGTTGAACCTGTCGACATGAACCACAAGTTGACCACATACTTGTTGAAGGAACACACTGCGGCAAAGCGCGCGAAGAAGGCCGAAGGTGGTGACAAGGATGGCAAGACCAAGAAGAAGTCGAAGAAGGACTCGGCAGAAGGTGACGACGAACCCAAGAAGGAAAAGAAAGAAAAGAAGGAGAAAAAGGAAAAGAGCGGTGAAAAGAAGGAGAAAAAGTCAAAGAAGAAGGCTGTCGAGTCGGAAGACGAAAACGACAATGACGGGTCGAACAAAGCCGGCAACGATTCCGAAGAAGAGATCGAATGGCACACCGATTTGTCTGCCGAGGCTGTCGCAGCTCGCGCGAAGGAAGCCGAAGCCCTCGAAGCGGCGGCTCATGCTGCCATGGTCGCGCCACCTACCTCGGACGAAGTTGTGCCTTCTTTCGACAACTTGGACATTGATGATGAAGCTGCAATTGAAGCGGCGACTGCTGCTGTGGCCACCTTCTTGATGGGCACTCACTCATCGATTGAAATCTACGACGAAGTTGTCCGCCAACAAACGAACGGCGCTCTGCCCGCAAACGATCGTTTGTCCATCTTCTTTGGTGCTGCGTTTACGAGTCAAATCCTGTCGAGCAACCAAGTTGCCAAGTACCGCCCTGTTTTGGAAAAGCTTGTGGATTCGGATCGCATGCAGCATCAGGTGATTGCCCTTACGGAACATTTCTGCGCCGTGAAGTTCCCCACGTTGTTGAAATCGTTCCCTGTCGTCCTGAAGCTCTTGTACGACGAAGAAATCTTGAGCGAAGACATCATCTTGTCCTGGACGGACGACGCCGTCCGCAAGCTTCACGCCCACTTCGAAGTAACGCCGACACAAGCGGCTGACCTCAGAAAGTCCCTTGAACCGTTTATCTTCTGGCTGCAAAACGCTGAGGAAGAGAGCGAGGGTGATGACGAGTAGTGTAATCTGCATCGAAATTGGAATCGCTTCACGAATCAAATGTTGAATTTTTAAGATATTTTGGATATTTTCCAGAATCTACCCTTTGTTAGGGATTAGCGAGTTTCCGTTGTTGCACGAGATGATATTTTCCTGGACGTGAAAAATTGCATCGAAATTATATATTTTCAACTAGACAAATTTTGGACATTGAAAATGCGCGCGGCGGCGATTCCAGCAACCGTAGTCGAAGCTGTTGGGATGGGTGTGCGGCGGCGGCGACAGATCCTTGTGCTCGGAAATGGCGCAGCCGGCGCCGAGAAACAAGCTCTTGCGTTGGCGTCTAAGTTGCAGACATTCCTTCCGTCACACGAGAATGTATCGGTAGCCATGAGTCGTGCCACGTACTCAAGTCGCGTGCATGCGATGTTGCCACCGCTTCTGCATCTCTTGTTGGCACGATGTAGCTACGATCCTTGGACCGGATATAGTTCGTATACATCTTCACCCCCCGACGTCGTGATTGGGTGCGGACGGACGACTGTCGCGTTGTGCGCTGGGTACAAGCAGGCTTTTCCTGGTGTGTTCAACATTCAAATCCAACATCCTCGGTAAGTTGTCCACGCCTGGCGCAAGCACAACTCTTACACCTTTCCTGTAGCGCGGGCCTACGGTACTTTGACGCAGTCGTCGCACCCTTCCACGACTTCCCGTACGCGGCAATTTGTCCACCTCCGCCAAACGTCCACCTCACTCCCGGCACCATGTGTGACATCTCCGCTGCCTCGTTGACATCAGCAAGACAAGCTTGGCACGACCGCGCCACGTCGTGGGCCCATCCCGCTTCATCCCCAAAGATCGCCGTGCTTGTTGGCGGGTCTTGCAGAGGGTACACACTTACCTTGGGTATGTGCCAGCCATCTTCCCCTCCTGCATTGGAACAATGGTTAACACTACATTCGATGGCTCGCAGACCGCGCGGCCGCTTTCGTGTCGCAGCTCGAGCACCACGCGCATACGGCCTCTTTCCTCGTAACGTTTTCTCGACGCACTCCCCACGATGCACGTATTGTCGTGCTTCGGTTGCAGAAATAGCTGAATGCACGTGGATGCCATAGGTGGCGCGCTTTCTCTACGAAGCTTTCTCGTCGTTCCCATCTGTGTACATATGGGACGGCATCGACCCGAATCCGTTCCTGGGCTTTCTCGCGCACGCAACGGCCATCGTGACCACGCCCGATTCGATCTCGATGGTCACCGAAGCGATCGCGTCAGGGGTGCCGACGTTTGTGTTCGACAGAGACATCACGACGGTAGGCATGATGCACAATTTTGGGTTTTTGCATTAGTCGACAGACACGAGATACGTCGCGGCGACTCCCGCGACGCTTCAGTCTCCGTCAGAACGCCTCCCATCCTCATTCTCGCGTGAGTAGGGCAAGTTTCAAAGGTTTCACCGACACGTGGCGCCTTGGGTCGCCGAAGTCGATTCGCTCGATGTCGCTGCTTTGACCAACCTACGCAGCCAAAACCATCCCAATGAGTCGACCACCGAACTCGGACAGCGCATGGACAATGGCGTCGTCCGCGCCATCGGGACAGCATTGCTAAAACACTGGCAGACCCACGATGACAAAGAGCCGTAGGCGGCGTCGCTTCAAACTCGTAAAGATAGCTAGACACAGGGTATTGTACCTTTGAATGCGCGCAAATTCGGCGTGGTGGACATTGTTATCCTTCATCGCCCGCAGGTGTGTCATTGTGTCCGATGGCTCGTTGCTCGGCGAATGCTACGCAAAGGAGGCGAATGAGTCCAACGATAACAGCCACGAGTGGTTGAGACAAGGAGTCGCATGGAGCATACCTTGGCGACGGAGGGAATATGGATGCGCATGAATGGATTGGTTGCCATTTCACTCGCCAACGTCGATGGGACCGTGGGGTGGCCTTGTGCCCGCCTTACAATGGCCCACTCTATCTACACGACACCACGACGATGTCAAGAACGGCGCGTGAGGCGCTGGAGAAGGCACATGCCTTGGCCTGCACGTCGACATTGTCTGGCTCGATGTACGACGCAAAACTGAGGTTGTTCAGCGTATATTCGTGGCCGCAAAAGACCTGGGTAGACGGCGGGAGGGATCCAAGGACTTGATAGAGGTTGCGATACATCTAGTGCGCCACATATCCCGTCATGCCGTCGATGCCATCGCAACGAGTTTGGCAGCTTGCATTCACACACGCGTGCAGCAGAACGAGACGTAGCCTTGTCGGCACGCCCTTACCTGGTCGCCGTTGCCTTCGAAAAAGCGCCCGGTCCCGCCCACGAACACTAGAATGGACCATGCCGCACCGTCAAGGGTCGTTTTGAAGACACCGAGCTCATTTGACGAGAAATTGGCAGCTACGTACACGTGTCCCCCGTAAAAACGCACCCTTGCCCGGTGTGATTTGCCGTCGATACTGCCGCCATGTGAGTCTAGATATTCCAGACACGCATCGGCCGAACCCACCATAGTATGCGACGTGGCCCTGTCCGAGCTCGTGAATACTCCGCCTTTGGTCATGCACATGGATAGAATACCATTGTGTGACACGGCACAGCGAGTGTCTCGATGGTGAGACTGCCGACGTTGAGTTTGTCGCCGTGCCATGCTTGCTTGGTGGATCCGAGGACGTTGTCGAGCACGCCGCCAACGATGGTCGCGTTGGGCAAGACGGCTTTCAGCTTGCGGTTTCCCCCAGCGTGGTCGAAGTGCTTGTGCGTCGTGAGGATGTACTTGAGGTTCAACGGCAACGACGGCGACGACCGGCGCGCGACCAATGCGCGCCACATGTCGAGCACGGCCTGGGGGTCCGCGACATCCACGGCAGCGCATTCACCGGTGGCGTGGTCAAACAGAATGTACGCAAAGTTGTCTTGGAGGAACGGGATCGTCAAGACAGTGGCGGCGCCGTCGAGAATCGTTGTCTCGAAGCACGTCACGTTAAATTCGGGCGACGCATGGTGTGCGGCGAGCTGTCTCTTGTACATGATGTAAAACAACGACGAGTTTGCAACCCAATTGATCAGGGCCTTCTTTGAACCGAGGAGGTAGATGCGGACGGCTAGCGCCGCCAGCGCAAGCCCCACGGCATAGAGTATCACCGGCATGTCTCCAACTCAAGGATTGCATCAAGTTCGCCGCATTTAACAGACCACTTGGTATATTATGCAGTCACAAGAGCGAAACCCACGGAAAACACAATCAAGTGACCCGAAATATCAAAATGCAATTCGCTCATTTTACTGCATAATATACATCACAAATAACCATACCGTCCCTAGAACAGGGAGCTACGTACTGGTAGAAGTGCACAGCACCGCAATCTCAAAATCCTTCACCAGACCACCGCTACGCTGCGGTGGGAGTTGAAGTTTGCGCGCCGTGCAACAGATTGGACATTTAAAAATAATCGCACTGTTACAAGTGTTAAATCCATGTCAGTAGAATATTTGATTTCAAAATCCGGATGTTGCTCCTAGATACAAATGAGAAGATAATTTGATTGCACTCTTCGGAATGCGCCTAAATTCTTCCTGGTTCATTTAGGTTGTGCAGGCAATACACTTACAAAATTGCTAAAATGCGAAGCTTGAACGTGCAATTTGCTACGTCGCTCTGCCACATACGACCTCCAGCCCTCGACACGGCATGGACGGAGATTAGGTTGCCGGAGACGCTTCGCACCTGGGGCAACCCCCCCTTGGATAACTATACCAGGAGTCGAGAAATCTGCGCAGTCTGACACAATGAAAGTCGTTGTGGGTCCGAGCGGTCGCGTGACCCGAAATGAACCGCTGCCAACATTGGGACATTTGACATCAGTGAGTTAACGCTATTGACACCGCCCCCCCTGCAATGCACCGGTCAACATGCACACCGCGCGACTGGAAGAACGCAATCTTTGTAGGTGTGGCCACGTTGTCGATGTTGCCATGTCCTACAGAGTCGTCGCAACGTCAGCTCAACGTCGTGCAGCCCTCGTACCGAGATTTCCATGCTCCCCCCAGCCACACGAGTACACCTGACCATCTGCCATCACTGCCGCCAAAGACTACATGACGACACATCCACCCTGGCAAGGCAGAATCGTACCGAAGAGAGTGTGTTCTGAACCACACGCAACTTGACAAACGGTAGCGGGTGGATGTGCAAAGACTGGCAGTGGCTGGGGCGTGGATTTCGACTCGAATGAGCCAAAACCTACGAACCCCATGATCAATCTCGTGGTCTCAAGCAGACGACGTACCTAGCTGCCCCAAATCCCCTTTGCCCCATCCATAGACGGCGCCGCTGCGGCCGAGGCATACCGCATGATGCCATCCCACACTTACGTCGACCATCGCTTCATCGGTTGTATTTAACACCTGCACTCGTTGGGGAACAAATGCGTGTGCCACCTGCACGAACACCATGATGCCTTCGATATCGTTCACTCATGCACGAGGGTGTACCTGTGGCACACCGAGCTGGCCATGCTTATTGCTCCCACTCGTCCAGACCTACGCAGTCGCTCGTGAAGTGCCACAACTCATCTTAGCCTTCACACGAGCGTACGTCACCCAGAGCTGTGAGAAAAACAGAGTGCTGCCACCCACAAAAGACTCTGTGGATGGTCTGCGGCGCCAACGACTCGATTCGTGTTGGCACCATGGCTTCTGTCGCGGTCGGCCCCATCGCCAGCTCGCCATGTCGGCCCTTGCCCCATGCAAACACCTGCAAGCCCTCGAGCGACGATAACGTGGCTTCAATGCGAAGATGGACGTACCCGACCGTCCTGCGTCGCTATGAGCGAATGTTTCCAGCCGCATGATAGACTTGTGACGCAAATGGACGATGGAAAGGACGTGACCAGCACTTTAGCACATGTGGACCGAGTTCCTTGTGCATCGCCTACACATGCCCATTTCGGCTGCCACAATCCAAACTGACGTGGCAAACACACTTCAGTACCTGCGACGAGAGGCAGCGCTTCCTTCGATGCGTGGCCGTGGCCCCATACATACACTTGGGTTGGACGGCTGCTGCTCGTGTCAGTGCTGTCTTGGGCTTGAGAAATAGCCACCGTATGCCACCACCCACAACACGCGAGATCTATCGGCTAGAGTTGCACGATAAAGCACGAGTGCAGCGTCAATTCGAGCGTACTGGGAGCCCAAGCACTGGTTTAGCGACCAGAGATGGTGACGATGACGTTGCGCGTCCTAACCGGTCCCGACTCGCGTCCCCCCATGTAAACAATTCGCCACTCGTTGTCCATCCTGCATGCAATCGATCAAAGAAATGCAAGTCTTGTCTTAAGGAATCAAGCGCATCGCTGTACGTTACCTGCGCTATGACCACCGCCTGTGGTGATGCCGACGAACGCAGCCTGTTCCACATGACGCATCGTTTGGTACGCGCGTGGTGAATTACATGCGAACATCGCACCTCAAAATCTACCTTCACCGGCTCCGCGTAGTCCAAGTCATCGCGTGTGCCTAGTTGCCCTGATGAACCTGCGTGTACCTCGTCAGTGGCAGCTCCATCCCATGCGCGTCGTACCCGATCCCCATGCGTATATACCTGGCATCGTGCAAGCAGTGGAGTTTTGGGCAATCGGGTGAAAAACTCGTTCTGCCGAATTCGACGCATTCGGTTAAACTCGGATCCCAATGTCGTTAAAATTCGACATGTTTCAAGAAATGAATAACTCCCAATTCGTTAAAACTTGAATAAAACGCATATACGCTAAAGCCAATTGACGCCTCTGATTGGCTGCCTCCGCCAAGTTGCATTCCCACGGGCAACCTTCCATGTCCAAACGAAGGCGCATCGCGGACCCCGACGACGTCAACGGCATTGATTTGACGGAAGACGAGCCCGAACCAAGCATACACGCCACGGAGTGCACGATCTGCTGCGAGAAGTGTGTGACCAGTGGCGACCACCGCTTGGCGAGTCTCGCGTGCGGCCACTTGTTTGGCTTGAGTTGCATCGAGCGATGGGTCAAGCAGAGCAAGTCGTGCCCTGTGTGCAGTCAGCCCGTGAAGCGCAACGACGTGCGTGTGCTGTTCACGGACACAGTTGCTGTCGTGGACAACAGTCGACAGGAAGAGTTGAACCAAAAGTACCTGGCCGAGAAGGCGGCGCGCACGGCGGTACCTCGTTCGCTGATTCCTCACCCCATTATCATTGTCGCGCTCTTGTGCACAGATGGAAATGGAAGTTGCGAAACTCAAACTTCAGCACGCCGCCCTGCAGTTCGAATGCGATAAGCACAAGAATCGCGTGATGGAGCTCCTCGAAGAAAACTCCATGCTAAAGACCTGTGGCCCACCTCCTCCTTCTTCATCCTCCTCGCGGCTCGGTGTGCCTTCCCAACGCCTTGACCACGAAACTTGGGCGTATGGCAAAGTCGCCTCGATTCCATGCTCGGACGCCCGCGTCTGCGCTATCGCGCTGCGTGGCGACCTCCTCGCAGTGGGTACCAAGTTGACTCGCGACACCCACGGACTCGTGCAGGTAGGGTCCTCTGCACCACTTCGAGACAGCCCTCTCATCACACTGGGCTAGGTGAGTTTGTTGGACACGCATCACCGCGCGACGATTCCACTGCACCGCCTCGCGATCCGCGACGTAGCCATCCGAAACGACAGCAAGTACATAGCCACGACAGCCATGGACGGCAAATTGCACGTGGTATGTACGACATCCCGACCAAATCTGACGTTATCAAGCAAACATGACGCGATCAAGTGACTTTATCACTATTTGATAGACAAGTCCAAGCGCCCAGCAGTCGATCTTGCACTTCGACATGCCTGAACGCCACGGCTGGTCTTGCTGCTGGGATGTGTCCAACGCGCATCAGGTATTGCAGCAGACCGTGGTGGACGTCTTTGCATTGTGCGGTAGCTGTGGGTTGGCCACCAGAACGGCACGCTCTCGCGCTTCGACATGCGCAAGCCCGGCACGGACGTCCTTGAGACGTTGACCCATCAGTTTCGACAACCCGTCCACGCCGTTCGGTCCCTGGGCCTCGAATCGAATATCTCCGTTCGTACTTTGCCTCAAACTCGTGCACGACGTGATGGATGAGTAGGTGGTGGTTGCCGCCACGTTCAGTGGTGTATCCATCTGGGGCGCTTCCGACACAGCCCAGCCACTGGTCCACCACATGCACATGGATATCAAGAATTGCTGCGCCATGGCTAACAACCCGAGATGTCCAAGCCAGCTGGTAGTGTCGACTCGAACGGCGGCCACGACCAACACCACCGCCTCAACGACGACGACCTCTCCCGCCCAGCATTTTGTCGTGTCGCTCCGGATCAACCAAGACGACATGCTCGTGGAAACCGACGCTGACGGTGTCTTGCAGGTACATGGCAATCAAATGCTAAAGCTCACGTGGCTGCAGGGCCATTCCACCCCCAGCGCCCTCACACGCTCGGCGATCTGGTCGAAATTTGACGGCGCCTCCAAAAAGGACAGCCCGGTCGTCGGGTCAGGCGATGTCGGGGCACACGAAGTCAAAGTCTGGGACGTTGCCACGTCATCTGTCGTGCATCACTTTGACGCGCCGCAACCCGTCGTGGACATTCAGCATGGCTGGGTGCTTCCGACAAATGACGCGATGCCCACAGGAGGGTTCCTGGCGGTACTGACCAACGACGACCTAGCGCTGTACAAAGCTTCGATCCATGCGAAGTAGCTCGAATGAGAGCCATCCCCTATTTAAGTAACAAGCGGAGTTTTCGTCGTCCAACTCTCTTCCAATGACGTAAAGAGCAAAGGGTGTCGTGACGGCACGTGGACCGTTTCTGAAGCACACAATGACTCGAAGCCTTCATGTCAACTTCCAACCGAATGGTTTGGTCTGTCGAGATGATGCCAGTCACGTTCGGGTACTTGCAGACAGGGGTACATCGGGGTGCAGTTGAATTGGGCGACGACAGCGACGGCGAGGCCATGGCAGACGTGAATTGGAAAATGAAGGGTCACCAAGTCAACGTGGAAAGGGTCCGATTTTGCAATAGATCTTACAGGTATCCCAGCTTGCTTCCAACACGCCCCCAAGAGACAAAATTGTGGTAGTTCACAAAGTGCGATGCGATGGAAGTTTGCTTCGACGGGGTGCGGACGAAAGCAAGGCCTGCATTTCCCGACGAGAGGATTGGACGTTGGGTGACACACACGACGGAGGCTCTCACCAAGACAAAGCCTGCAGGAAAATATGCACACGACCTCGACTTCGCTCCGATGTGCGCGATGTCCTGGGCGTCGCTCACTCCTGTAACGCAAACGCAGTTCTTAGAAGGGCTCATATGACACAAGTTGCACTGCTATCTACCCCCTCCGTCATACTCCTTCAGTTCCAAAATATGTGCGCGAGTTTGTGGAGGTTAGGCATGACGTGTCATCAAGTATAGATGAAATTTTGAATCCGTAGTGTCACCTACCCGGAGTCGAAATATTTCGTGTAGATTTGGCTCTTCAGATAGGGGCTCTCAGTTGATGTGTTAAACGAGGGGAAGTTATCGAGTGCTGTGGCCTTTCCCATGTTCCAAAATTTCATACTATTAATACTATACATATGCATTTCATATAAAACGTTCACTTCAAACGGCAAACGTTCAAAATATGCCAATTGAAAGGCGCAACCTGACCGACGTCGAGCTCGAATCCATCCTCCGCGAGGTGTTGCTCCACCCGCAACGGTAGCTACAAGGCTAGACTACATAATGGATTAAGCCAGATCATTGTGGACAAGTACAAATGCCACGTTGCCACCATTGGCGGGTCCTTGCGGAAGCGAAGAAGCAAGGTGCTGTCAGGGCAACATGAAAGTCAATGTTGCAAGCAAGAAGAGAGGTAGAGTTGGTAGAAAGAAGGCGTTCACCGCTGAAGAAGTGAAAACAAAGCTCCTGCAAGTATCGCAATCCCAACGAACTACACTTCATTCCATTTCCTTAAAACAGATGCATATTGACCGCAGAAGAATTTTAGTAACATTTTCCCATAGGGATAAGTCTCGGGACGCTGCACGGATACCTCAAGCTTAGTTTGTTTCGGCCCCATTCCAGGGAAATCAAGCCATTTTTGACTGACTGTACAGCAGAATGAAAATCTATCATACCTTCTTGGTCGAGATGGTGCTGCCTGCAATAGTAGCCAAGTGGCCAGGTGACCACCGTGTGGTGAAGTTGCAACACGACAATGCCCATGTCCATGTAATCCCATCCAACGCGCTGCTGAACGAAGCCATGACCAAGTACAAGACTCTTGGAAGGACGATATCACTTGCACAACAACCATCGAATTTCCCCGACACCAACGTGTTCGACTTGGGTTTCTTCTCAGCCATCCAGTCCTTACAACACCGCAAGTCTGCACGCAGCATTGATAAACTGGTTGCTCATGTTGAAGATGCCTTCACCGCTTACACGTACGAGACACTGAACCACACGTTCATGTCCTTGCAAGCGTGCCTGTTGAGACGACGAGTGTTTTCGGAGACAATGTCTGCACGTTGCCTCACATCGTCAAAGCGAAGCAAGAGCTCAAGGGCCTGTTACCTCAGCATGTGTCGTCCCCACGGGAAGTTTTCGACGCCTCGAATGCAAGGTTGACCGAAATTGGACGAGTTGGATCGTGTGCTTGCAGGCATGCTCAAGAGGCCCGATGCGTCGAAGAGCTCTCCCAAACACTGGAAGCCATTGACATGTGTGACGGTGAGTCGACTGATGTCATTGACGTCATGAGAGAAGTTTGAATCGTACCAATTAGTGTAGATGATGAGAAGTAAGCGCGTTCAGGTGTGTGTTGTTATTGTGGATGGTCCTTGTGCTCGTTCGGAGGGATCTGGTGGTAAACCTCCTCCTGTATCAATTGGAAAGGACGGAATTCAGCAATTCCGCCATTGGATAGGGCAAACGTAACGTTACATTGTACAATTTCGCATTCGATCTCAGAGTTTTGATAGTTTATTCAGGGAGGCATACGTCAAAATTCTGATTCGCGCACTTATTTTGGAACGGAGGGAATACAATAATGGCGCGACTCAGAATTGTTCCGTATGCCTCCTTGAATAAAATACAGGGTACTACACGATAAAATATTTTGTGCATAGCATTCATTGTAAAGGTGTAATATTAAGATATTGTCTCACTTGTTGCTAAATATTGGATCTGTGAATTCTTAAATTCCGCCAGCGCCATTCGATTCAGGAGGGTTTTTTCTCCCGACAGCCATCCCACTTACGACACCAAGACAGCGGACTACTAGCAACGCTATATGTATGAACGTCAAACTATTCATCTCTATGAATTGGTTTGGTTCAATACCAATGTATTCATTAATGTGGACGTAGTTCAGAAGCTCAGTGAACAGAATTTCTGGCCGAACAAAGCTCATGGCAAACTTCATACAAACGAGTGTACTTGTTCGCTTCTGTCAGCACGGACTTGATGGCATTGGCGTGGGATCGAATCATGCCCAGCTTGAGGTACCAGTGACGTGTTCCTCTACTTATTCCTTTACATCTGTGCAATACAACGCCGTTTAATGTGTTGAATATCATGTATTCAGTTGTCTATCATACCAGTTTGCGATGAAATAGCTCAAAGTATAGCTCGATTGGCAAGATGCACTTGCAATAGTTTCGCTTTCACTTGGGCTGCTGTGCAGGCGAACTTTCAGCCCACTTTACCCTTCTTCAGACCGGAGATGACACATTAATGTAGCCTTCCACAACTCCTTGGACCTTGGTACGAGCATGGACTTTGCGAATCGTGGCAGCATGGCATTTGTTCTTGCTGGCTAAGTTTTAGCCAAAACAATGTGCAAGCCTTGCAGAGCAGACACCACACCTCAAGTTTTCACGAAGAATGGCTTCGCGCTTCTCGTTTATCAGGTCCCGCCTTCCCATTTCCATGTTGAATGAGTGCATGTTGAGAGAGATTGTATTACATGTGAACATGCTCCAAAACTCGACATGTTAATGTGTCGACAGCGTAACATCAGACACATCAAGTTAAGACTTGGCGCACTCTTTCTTGTCGTTCAATCGGAACTACGAATGTGCTACAGGAATGGATACAAACCATTTTGAAGTTGACAGTAATAAAATCATCAAACATGTACAATACACCCTCATCAAAGTCGCGCCATTATTGTGGGATGGAGGGAGTATGTGGGAAAAGACGCCCTTGAAACGTTCACGTGAGAATATCTCCAGTGAAGCGTGTCGCAGTGGCGATATTCTACAGTGCGCGAAACAATTATCTCTGCGCACATCAAAATTTTGGTTTGACAAGAAGTGCAGGCAATTGCTTTGCTCTGAACACGCCCTAAAGAGAGGTTGCGGTGTAAGTGCAAGTATGTCTATACCCTAAAGTCAATGAACGAAAAATTGCGAAAGGTACTGACGGACATATTCATGTAGCCCAGTACGCTAATACTCGACACTACCGCCATCGCTTACAACAACTTGAGCCAAACCGCGCAGGCATGCGCTGTCGACAAGCGTCTTCACGTAGTCAGTACCTGTCATTCTCCACGACAACGCAATTTACCACCATCACGGTTCGAACAATGCGTTCCATACGGAAGAGACAAAATTGAGATGGTTCGTGAAAGTGCGATTCCATGTCAGTATGCCTCGTCTGGGTGCAGCACGGACGAAAGCAAGGCCTGCCTGCAGCTTTTCCCGACCAGAGGAAACGACTGGAGACGAACGACAGGGAAGATGGGCTCCATGAAGACGCGGGCGACTGACACGTGCGAGTACACACCAGGGTATCCAGGCTCGGCGCACCCTTTGCCCGAGCTCGTCATGCCGCCGACGAACTCGACACCGTATCGAGTGATGGTCCCCCACACTCGCCTTGGCACAAGTCCTTGGGTCCGCCACCGGCAAACACCATCGAGTCCAAGATTTCGCGTTCGCTCGCAGCGCTTTCTTAAAGTCGGCGTTGGACCAGAGCCTGCGACGTCCGTTTCGAGCAAGACGGAGTGCGAACTCTCAGTGCCGACGCCACGCACCCACGACACGATGCCTGGGGCCGAGACTTGACTTTGACGGGGGCGACCTTGGATTCAGTGTCAAAGGTGGAAAAGTCGTCGTCCGTCGTGTCGTCTTCGTTGAACTTGGGATGCATGGTTTGCTGGACGATCTTGATGCGCTCGCCGTCCTTGGTGCCGCCGAGTAGCGCGACCCCACCAAAGCTGGCCCGTCCACCGGCGGCGGCGAGGAGCACCTTGGGGGCGATCCAGGACGCGCCGCAGCCAGACGACGTGTAGCGGATGCCAGTCACATACGTGTCCCGTTGGTCCCGTTGCCGATTTCGGACTCGGCGGTGGCGGCGACAGCAGCGAGGACCTTGGCCATAGCAAGTGGCAATGAACTTGTGGACCGTGTCGATCACCTGGTGTGGGCCACGGTTTGACGTCAAGGACACATCATGGTTTGGATTCTTTTCAAGGTCGTTGGTCCCATTTAGGGCCATTCGTACATTTCTACATTAGTTGTTGGTCGTCTTTGTACCATAACAGTACGGTGTTACTGTATCGGTCCGACATTGGCATTCGTGCGAAGTCACTTTTATCGGATCATCCTCTTTTCCTTATCCTTATCCTTATCATTCGGGGATCGGCACGGAAATTGTTGGCCAAACTCCCTTCGATGTGGTGGAGGTGGTGGAATTCGGGAGGACCATCGCGATCCCGGCGGCCGTCGTGCAATGACTGCTTGCCGCATCGAACCCATTCTGAAACGCGCCGAGGGTGCACTCGGTAGCGCTTTGAGACCCGACCGTGGGCACCACGGTCGTCAAGCATGGAGGCTTCATCACACTATCGCACACGGTCGAACAGACGCTGGCCGGGGCACCATAAATCAAGCAGTTGGTATAGGGAGTTGATAGCGCAGAGGAAAATTGGAAGTGATTCGATTGTCATCGTTAAAACGTTCTAGCTAAAGATCACTATGTAATACTCATGAGGTCGCGCTGCAGGTGCGGTGCGACTAGCTACCGTCTCATACCGACCACGCACACTCGACGTCGCAACACCATTAGTTAGATCTGTATGATTACTACATTCTCCCCCTGATGTCGCCTTGGTCTCTCGCAACTTCACGCGTAGGTCTTGTACAAGCTTCTTGAAACGTGCTTGATTGTTCGCTCCAACTCCTATGTTGCTTCGTGTTCTGGCAAACCATGCCACTTGACAAGGTATTCCTTCTTGCGATTGAATTGCCGTTGCTATAGCAGAGCTTCTACGATATAGAGCTCATTTCCTTTGTCGTTCAGGACATGAGGCGTAGCCTTCGGAATCGGACGATTTTGGAATCGAGATGGGTTTGGCACGTGGCGCTTCAACCGGTCAATGTAGAAGACGCCACATTGACACAGGTAGGGCCAACCGCATTGCATTTGAGTTGATTACCACCGTCACTTGGAAGGGACCAATGAATCGTGGAACGAACTTTGACTTTTCTTGCAGTTCGAGTAGCTGTGCATGCTTTAACGGAATGTCGCGTGTAGCTAGCATGACGCTGTCGCCGACTTTAAATTCCACTTCGGCTCTCTTACGATCATAGTATTCCTTTTGGCGGGTTTAGCCTTTTCGAGGTTGTCCAGGGCCATCTTTAGCAACTCCTTGCGTCGCTCAGCAAAGTTCTTTGCATACTCGTTCAACGCCAATACGTCATTCAACACTGGATTGCGAAGCTTTCGGCCAGTATCAACTTCAAAGGGAGTCATTCCAGCCGATGTTTGTACGAGTCCTTGATGCGCATACTCGATGGTTCCGGTATGCCACCTGTCGTGGCCCAACTAGGTCACTTGGCAACGTAGAGCATCCTCTAAAGTCCGGTATTGCCGTTCTGTGGCTCCATCGCTTTGCGCTCGCCCAGCCGTGGTCATGTAGTGTTTCACGTTCATGATGTTCACCAAATCTTGCCAAAACTGACTAGTGAACTTTGGATCTCGATCACTGATAATGACAGCAGGCAAATCGTGGTTCCGGACAACAGTGTCAAAGTGTCAAAGAACTTCTTTACAGCTTGGTGTGCATCAACGGTCGACGTCGTGGCGCAGTACTTTGGTCGTTTCGATATCTTGTCGACACAAATCACGATTGAATATTTCCATTGGAAACAGGGAGATCTGTGATCCAGTCGATGGAAACTGTATGCCAGCATTCGTCAGGAGATTTGATTATGATCATTCAACCATTGGCTTTAGCACTACTCGACTTATAGCGAGCACAGGTTTCGCAAGTTGCGACGTACAACTTGACATCTTCGTCCATTCGGTTCCAGTAGTACAATTGAGCTACATGCAACTGCGTGCGCCGAACCCCAGGGTGCGCTGTAGTGCTCGTGTCATGGCTTTGGGAAATGATTTCGCCTTTTAGAAAGTCGACTCTGGGAACAAACAACTTCCAAATTTGTTCATTCGACTTCACGAAGTAGAGTTCATTTTTGCAAATTGTCGCATCTTCGACGTGTTTGGTCTAGGCGTAGGCTTGGATGAGCTTTGTTTCAACTTCTCGTTCATTTTGACGGTGATATACGATAGTTCTTTGGAATGGTTGATGACATGTTGTTGTGGCACTTCGACTTCGAGGTTGTTTGCTTGCACCTCCTCCCCCCGAGAAGGCGAGTTGATCATCAACACAAGTGTACGCAGGTCAATGCGCTTGAATGACAACACATTTTTGTTCCACTGACGCACAGCAAGGTATCGCATGACAGTGCTCATCTAAATTGTGAACCGTGCAAGTAGCAACTTGAATACTTGCACGCAGAGGACGCGACAACGCGTCTGTTACCACATTCGTCTTGCCGGGACGATGATGGACTGTGAAGTCAAACGAACCGAAGAATTCCAACCATCTTGTTAGCTTGCGGTTAACACGGGTGTTTTCAGGAACCAGTGGCAGATCGAATTTTCTGTAATGACGTCAAAGTGCGAACCGTATACTTAAGGCCGCCACTTCGTCAGAGCCAGCTTGATGGCGCACAATTTCTTTTCATGCGATGGCCAATTGCGCTCAGCACCCCCGTACTTCTTCGACAAGAAGGCAATCGGCCGATTGTTGACCCTTGTCATCCAAGACAAGAGGACCGCTCCGCAGCAATACCCAGATGCTTCCTTTCGTGATCATAAACGACTTGTCGAAGTCTGGCAACTGAAGTACAGATGCTTGTTGCAAAGCAGCTTTCACTTTGAGAAATGCTTTCTCTTCGAGATCCGTCCACTTCCAGGGCACGGATTCCTTGGCAAGGTCACTGATCGGTAGGGCCAAGTTCGCGTAATTTGTAATAAATTTGCGATAGTACCCCGCCATTCCAAGAAAGTTCAACAGCTCTTTCCGAGTTGTAGGCGCCGCCCAATTCTCAATGGCGCACACCTTGTTGACATCAACCTCGAGTCCGCCAGCCGAGATTGTGTGTCCCATGAAGTCAACCTTGGGCACTGCAAAGGCGCACTTCTCATGACGCGCATAAGGCTTTTCCGATCGCAGACCTTTGAGAACAGTACGCAGATGTGTCGCATGCTGACCGACACTCGTTGAGTAGATGCAAATGTCGTCCAAGTAGACCTCCAAAAAGCAGAATTTGTCGAACATCGACGCATAAGTCTCGACCATATCCCTGGCAACCCCGCCATTCCCATGGGAACTACGCATCATTGCACTATCTCCTTGTGCGTCCAAAAGGCAGTATACTTGCGTACATACGGTTCGACCAGCGTTTGATGGTACCCGAAGGCAGGGTCGATCTTTGTAAAGACACTTCAGCCATGCATCTTATTGCAGAGATCCTCAATGTTCGGCTATGGGATCTTGGGGATTTCTGACTGTGAGTTAACATTACGGTAGTCAAGAACCCAAGGGATTGGTGTGTTTGCTGTGGCCGGCTTCAGTCACACTTGGCGTGAAGGCAACTTCCCGTTCTCGTATTTCTTGGGCACGCCAAGCATGTTTGAAACTCAATCACACTTAGACAACTCAACCCATCCTTTATTCTTCGGGATTTCCACAAACTTGTCGAGCGACTCTTGCTCGACTTTCGCCAGTCGGAAAGGAGCACGGTTCTGCGGCTTCGCACCGGGCTTCAACGTGAGGTCAAACTGCACTGAGCGCTCTAGTGGAAATCCTTCCGGCAGTTCCTTGGGAAAACATCCTTGAACTCGTCCATCACTGCTTCGATCTCTGCAGGTGTTGACTGAACTTGTGCCTCCACGCGAAACAGCTGAAGAATCCATCCCTCACAGTCCTTCGTGACCGGAGCATTCGTTTCCACTTCTTTTTCCACCGAAGTGATCACTCGATCTCGTCAATTTATTACCGGGTTGTCCTAGCGAAACCATGTCCGAATCGATGTATTCCACATCGTCATTAGTCGTCGATTCCTCGTGGACTACCAAGTTCACTTGACAACAATGTGGCTCCTGACTTGAGATCTTCTTTTTGGGCTTCTGGCACTCGGATGAATAGTGGCCTACCTTCTGGCAGTAGTAGCAACGGATTTTGCTACGGTCCTTCTTCTTGGACCTTTCTCGCACGTTCAAGTTGTCGACCTCCATGTCGACAGACTCCTGTAGTTCGCGTCGTTGCGGTAACGATCTGTGGTGTTCTTTCTCGAATCGACTGTTCTTTCTCGAATCGACCCTTATGCCCAAAGACTCTGCGTGTGCCCTTTCGTACTCCAAGGCCACTTTCATCGCCGCAGTCAGAGTCTTGCATTGTCGATACTTAACTTCCTCGCGAGTCCTCAACTTCAGACCGCGGATGAAGAACGTCACATTGTCCAACTAGGACATTTGCTTGATATCCGTGCACAAGCGCCGGAACTGCTCGACATACATCATAATGTCCTTGCAGTTCTTTTGATG